AAGAAAAAGCAATCTATTTAATTTTTAAAAAACAAAAGATTTACAGTATTTCTCAATGATTAAAAAAATATTATAAATATTATGTTTGTATGTAAGCAGGTGGTTAGTAAAATACATGAGCAATAAAATAAATACAGCATATTTCGGTTGGAAAAATATTATGGCCCTCAATAAAATATTTGGTCACTTTTTACCTAATTTTATTTTATTTAAATACAACAATTTTTTTATTGTAAATAAATATTCATCTTATATGCTACAAATTCTTTCAATACATACAGATATAATTAGGATATAATTAAAATATAATATCTGGATATACCTTAAAATATTTAAGACTGGAACTTGAATTGAATTCCAACTGAAATCAGGAAAGGATAGTGTAAGATTATTTAACATGTCATTGAAAAATTAATAAACGGTATATACCTGATCCTCTTGCTCTTGCTGGCAATGAGTTATTTTCAGTTTGAAACATATTTTTGATCCATATTTTCAATAGATGGACATCACTACTGCTTGAATTCATAAATACTATAATATATATATATATATATATATATATATATGTTTAATTTGAGTTTAAAATTCAGGCGTAACATCAATAAAAATAGTATGAGAGTTTTTTTAAAAGTTTATTATTTAAAATCCACACGTTTCGGCTAGCATCTTAGCCATCATCAGTGGTAATCAATTAACTATACTAATAAATTAAAACTAAATAAATAATATGTAAGAAATTTCATAGAGAAACAATATTAATAATAATAATAAAACACCTTAATTTTATCCTATCCTAATATAGCATATGAAACCGTTATTTTTATTGATGTTACGCCCAAATTTTAAACTCAAATTAAACATATATATCAACATCAAATTCAAGACTATTCAAATATATTATTATATTATATATATATATTATATATATATATATATTCCATAACATGTTCAATATATACATATAAAAAACAAAATGGCTTCCTCTATATGAAGTAACAAAATCAAACAGCAAACAACTTATACAAACATAGACCAAATAGAATTATATTTACTTTATATTTATGTATGAATGTATTTACACAAATACGGGGTAACATTCGCATACATTTAAATATTTTAGCATGAGATATCGATTTGTATAGGATAGCTCACTAATGTGTACATATATATATATATATATATATATATATATATATTATATATATATATATATACATTTAATACATACATGTCTTTATGTATATGAATGGGTATACATATTTTGTCTATACACTTCTAATTCTAACTTTTACTTTCAATATAATGCATATTCATGTAACTTGAACTTACACAAACAAGAGTTAGAGGTATACATATATAATTTTGGGTCTGTATGGGACTGCGATTACACGTGCAAAGTTGCACACATCTATGAGCTATGAATATATCCCACCCACTATTGTGGTTATATTGGTGCAGGTTACTCATTCGTCTGTATGTGCGTATATACACGGCATTTCATTTGCAGGACTCAGAATACGTACACGAGAACGTGTACGATTAGTACGTATAACCGCCTTTGCGAGTGTAGAACCGTGTAAGTATACGGTTGCACACTCGCCCGCGACTCGTATCATTCGACCGCTCGCGCACGAGTGATCTTTCATCTCTCACAGGCGAAACTGCTCCGCTTGCCATTAGCCACGCCTGTCCGCGGAGGTGTGGCCGCCGTTGGCAACGCGCTTTCCCGGTCCGCCGTCGGAAGAATCTATTTAGTCGGCTTGCGATAGCGCGAGCGAACACGTCATGTATGGTTGTGTGTGATCTGTTTGTCGCGCCACCGAATATATTTGAATAAATTTGGATTTTTTCTTCAATATACATAAATTTGTATATGAACCTATATGATAATACTCCGATGAATATTTAAAATATGAAAGTGCCGGATGTGTCATCTCTGTACGGTTGCTAATTAAAGTTTTGTGCTGTTGATTTATGTGAGTGACTTGTTTTGATCATGGTGATTTATATGAGGACAATTGTTAAATCACATACCCTACATTTGAAGATTGTGCAATTTATAAATGCAATACAATAGAATGAAAATACACCAGTGACAAACACGAAATTATATGGAATGTTAATCTTAAATGGATAATTATCAAACAGTGCAAAAACATTCAGTTCTGGTTTTAGTTCTCTAATGCAAACTACATAGTTAATTTAATGAACTGTGAAACGAAATGTGCATAGAAAATTGGACATCATTGTGTGCTCAATAAAATGAATTATTTATAAACGTGCTTGATTAAAAATCAAGTGTAGATACGTTGAAAAATATGAAAAATATCACAAGTACGTATAAAAATTTTGCATAAACTTACAGAACTGAAAATGTTATAGAAAATAACATATACATTTATTGGATCTCAATTATTAACGAATTAAAGAAATAATAGATAATCCTAAGTTGGTAGATTAAGTCATGTATGCTATTGCGGAGTTTTGCAAATAAAAATTGTTATTAGTGTTTATTGACAGTGTTGATTGAAACGATATTCTCATTGCAGTTATTAGTCATTATTACAAAATATTTGTACTTGTATTGTGTTCTCATGGTTAAAGTGAAATAGTGATATCGTGTCATTTGAAAAATAATTTCTAGTTTCTATTTTGACATCTTCAAAACCTTGTAAGTGCAGATATATTCATGATAAATAATTGATTTACAAATTAAGTATATCATCAGTCGATATAAATTGAAAGCGTGTATCTTTATACAAAATAACGGGAGTGGCAAAATCAAAATTTGAACATATTATTTACAGTATATAATATTTAAAAATTTCTTAAGTAATTTTTCCCGCGAAACATAACGAAATAATATAAATGAAACGTATAAATAAACCTCTAAATAAGATTTCAATATCGTACGAATTGCCAATAAGAAACCTAGTCTAGTCGATTGCGATCTATAAAAGGACCATAAACGGAAGTTTGAAAATATTAACCAGAAATATAAATAATATCATGTCTACGGGCTACATGTCTGAAATAGATCCGTCAGAATCCGCAAGCGCTGGTGGCGCCAGTAACCCCAACGGAACAAATCAAAATAATCCATCGAGCAATTCGAACGATCCAAATTCGCCGAGAAATTCGGATTCGAAATACGGCCAACAGCAGCACATGTACAGTAACCCGATTCACTCGCACGGAAATTTGGCGCAACAGGCGAACCGTTCCGAGCAGAACCTGTCTCCGCACAGCGTCGGAGGACTGGCCCATGCTCACGCTCACCTATCCCAAAACCGATTGGAATCTCATCTATCACATGGTAACCTGTGCCAAAACCTATCCCAGAACAGACTCGAGCACAACTTGTCGCCTCATAGCGTCAACCTATCGCAGGCGAACCTCTCCCAGAACAGGTTGGAACACAATCTGTCGCCGCACGATTCGAATTTATCGCAGAATAGACTAGAGCCGCATCTTGCACAAAATCGAATGGAAACCCACCTGGCCGCCCACGGGAATTTATCCCAATCGCCAAATCTATATCAAAATACAGATTGGCAGGACATCAAGCCCCAAAACTATAACATCCATACAAATATTCATAATATCCATAATATTCATAATATACATACGAATATTCACAATATGCATACAAATATACATAGTATGCACAACAACTGGCCAATCTACAATCACCCGTCTATTTCCAACTACCATCTTCACCGGACACAAACTGAAGGATATCACGAAAACAGGCATCTGGGTCAAGATCTCGGTCTAAATAGGGAAGTCAACAGGGACCAAATTGCCAGGCCGGATTATATGTCCAGGACAGCAGATGCAAACAGGGAATTCAGTATAAATCGAGGTGGAGATTTGTCTCTTAATAGGGATTTAAGTATCAACAGGGATCTCAGCCTAAATCGCGATCTGTCCCTTAATCGATCCACAGACCTCGGAATCAATAGGAGCGAGTTTGGCCTAAATCGAGATATCGGTCTAAACCGCGATTTGAATTTAAATCGCGGAGGCGACTTATCGTTAAATAGGAGCGGAGATTTAAGTTTCCAACGGGACCTGAGTCTAAATCGTGGAGATTTCGGTTTAAACAGAGATCTATCTCTGTCGCATCCTTCTACCTTCTCTACATCTGAAGATGAATTAACTCCTTCTAGTGATGATTTGGAATTGTTTGCGAAACAATTCAAACAGCGGCGAATCAAATTAGGATTTACTCAAGCCGACGTTGGCTTGGCGTTAGGAACTTTATATGGAAACGTTTTCTCGCAGACGACAATATGCAGGTTCGAAGCACTCCAATTGTCCTTTAAAAACATGTGTAAACTGAAGCCATTGTTAGACAAATGGCTGCAAGAAGCAGATTCGACGAACGGCAGTCCCACAAATATAGACAAAATCGCCCAGCAAGGCAGAAAGCGAAAGAAAAGGACCTCGATAGAGGTTTCAATAAAAAGTGCACTGGAAAATCATTTCCACAAGCAACCGAAACCGTCGGCGCAGGAAATTAGCAACTTGGCGGACGGGCTACAGCTGGAGAAAGAAGTCGTTCGAGTCTGGTTCTGTAACAGGTAATGCTCTCAAGTTTAAAAAAATGTTGCCATTTGGACAGTTTATTTTTTATTTATTACTATAGCAATATGAAGTAACTAGTAAATCTTCATAAAATAATATATATATATATATATATATATATATATATATATATATATATCGCAAAATTGTTTATTTCCACGACGGAAATTAAAATATAACATCAATTTATTATGCGAAAATGAATTATATACTTTATAGTTTTGCGTACTCAGTACAATTGAATATTGCTCACAAGAAAATAATTCCTATAAGTGAAATTTCCTTCAGACGCATGCATTTTCCAGAAATAAATTTACTGTTTACAAGTCAAAGTTCGAACTAATCAATTAGATATCATCGTTATTAATGCCAACGCTGTATCGGCATAATAGCTTTGATTATTATTACCTGTTTTATACGTTTTTTAATTATTTATTGACTATGAGAAAATTCTAAAGCTTACAAATGCTAACTAGAATACGAAAATACTTATGCTTATTGTTAGAGGATATTTGCTGTTCAAGTATCAAAGTTCAAACCTATTATAAATATTAATAATTTTGCCATAGCTAGGTATGACACTAGCGATAAAATTTTATCTGCTGGCACTGCATCTTCCCAATCAAATAATAAAAGTTCATTCAAATAAAAAAAAATCGATATTATAATGCAAAAATTTAAACTAAAATTATTAGTATAATAAATGTTCTGGAATAAAGTTATAAATAATAAAAATGACAATAAACAAGAAACATTACATTACAAAATAATTGTGCAATTAAAATAATATGATCATAAAATATTATGAAAGAAGTTATTAGTAAAAATGATGTTGTGATTAATTAGTTGCAAGTTCTCGCTTCGGAAAGACGAATTAGAATATAATTCTCTGTTCTTATTTATTTTTAGTCTCGTACGAATCTACAACTTGATTGTAATTTATAGATTTTATATTTGGCCTAATTTTGTTGTTTGATTGGTGCATGGCTTTTGAATATTGTCAATGTATAGAGTGAGTAACTGAATAATTCTGTACAAAAATCGCATTAAAACCGGAGCAAGCGACTAAAATGATTAATATGGTATATCATTTCTATGTCTCCAGGCGGCAAAAAGAGAAACGCATGACGCCCCCGAACACGATGGGCAGCGACGTCTCCGAAAGTCTCGTGTACAACGCGGCCTACGACCAGAACTTGGGCCACAGCCTGGTCCACAAGTACGAGGACATGCCCGGCGGAGGCGGAGGCGCAAGGCACTTGGAGGACACGGGACGACACCTGGAACACGGCGTGTCGCACCTGGGCCACGAAATGGCCAACAAGTTCGAAGGGCACGACATGGGACAGAACCTGGGACACAATTTAGGCCACAATCTAGTTCATAAATTCGAAGACGGCAGCAGGCACATAGAGCAGAACCTCGAGCCTAGTTATTCGGAAGCGCAGAGTCCTGGCAATTAGCATAGGACGTGTAAATACGTGAGTTAGGGACATAAATTCAAGTGACTGATTAGTGACTGAACGATGTTATAAATGACAACGTGAGTGCGAAAACAAAACGTCTTGACGAAGAAATAGTCGTTAAAAGTAAAAAAAAAACAAACAAAATGAAAATAAACAAGGCGTGTAAAAAATGTGATTGGCAGTATATCGAAAGAGGTTCACAACCTATGTACTTTAATGAGCATGCAAGATTACAGAAAGTGTTACAAAATTCTATTTCTGAATAAGTGTAAAAACGTGCAAAGACTCAAATAGTATCAAAAATCTATTGTGATAGACAAAATATAAAAAATATAATCCATTGGATATTAGTATCCATTTTGCCACATCTTTATTATCACAAAATCATTATAATATCACAAAGTCATATATTAGACCTATGATTATAAATATTATAATTTATAAATATATGTCAATACATAAAAGTTCAAAAACCAAAGTGATTAAAAATTGAAGAATATGCAAACTGTATTCACATATGCTAAACGTATCTATAGAAAAAAATTGGTAATGTGCGAAAAAGAAATTGTAATATAATAAATGTGTAAATATAGTGAAATTCAATATAAACGTACAAGGTATAATATAATACATATATAAATATGGTGAAATTTGAAATAAACGTACAAGGTATAATAATAATAAGTTATGTTTAGCATATTACACTAAGCTACATATGAAGGTGAGATAATGGAACTAATGTACTATCATTTATTTATATATACATATACACATACATGATATATAAGTATAATACATATAGTATATATACATATACATACATATATATGAATATGAAAAGTATCTGTTTCAATTACTTTAATCCTATTTCATTGTATTTTAATTTTAATATGCCTAGTTAATTTTATCAATTCCCTATCAATATTTTAATTTTTTAAATTCATATATACAAACATCAAATTATTTTTTTGTAAAAATTTGCAAATATATGATGTATGTGTGTCTGTATATATATATATATATATATATATATATATATATATATATAAAATATTTCTTACTCATCTCAGACTTCAATCATCTTGTGTGGGCACTTTTTAACGTTTATGTATTAAATAAATACAAGTAACGACATTGTTCTGGCTCGTCCTTTCTTCAATTATATTAAAAATTATTAAAAAAATATTAAGTAACAAGTGTTTATATCAGTAATTTAACTAACAACTGATTAGACGAGTGATCTGCCATAAATAATAAATTTATATTATTTTTCATTTCCTTTTCTTTTACTAAACTACAAATTGTCCCAACAATAAAAATTAGGTAAATATATACATATGTATAAATATATTGATCGACAATAAATGAATTTCCATACATGTTTGAAAGCGTTCACACAATCAACACGGTACAAGAGCTGAACAAGTAAATGCATTCAACATAAAACCAAGTTCTACATAAAACATAAAATATTGAGGAAAAGTGTAATATAGAGAATGATAAATTTGTATACAATCATACATTATGTGTATACACGTACATACATAAATTCGTGCAAAATATCTATTAGATTGTAAATATATTTGTACTTAAAATTAGGATAATCATAAGAAAATGTATACCTCATGTATGTAAAATAGTGTTACACGATCAAACAACCATATATATATATATATATATATATATATATATATATATATATATATATATAAACAAATATAGGTATTTATATCTATATATGTATATGGTAATTTTCATGTTATAATATAATTTTTTAATTGTTTTATATGTATTGTTAATTCGTTTTACATATATTATATGTATATTAAATGTATACATGTACCGTAATATCGTGTACATGTATACAAAATGTGTATATATCGTAAATTGTTTTTGTCCAAAAATGTGTACATGATAGTCTTATAAATGTATTAATTTATAAATATATGGAGGAAACGAATTTATTAAGTAAATAACATATTGAAAAAAAGTTCAAGTGTTTTATTAACTCTAATCGATGTTTTATGTTAAATAATCTAATTAATTAAATAATAAAAAGTAGTACGTCAATCCAGTGAAAAAAACCAATATTGTTCTTAATAATGTGATACTAAACTAATTAGTGATGTTACCTTGATTAAGTGGCAATGAAAATTGATTATATTTGGGTAATGAAATAGGTCTACAAATATTTTCATTGCATAAATATAGCAACAACAAAATAAAAAAATGTATATCAACCCGCAGAAAACGTTAAAATTAAAAATTAAACAATCGTGACAAACAACTTAAAAAAACTTGTAAATAAATTAAGAACTAAAAATATGAACAATGATTAAAAAGAAAGTGAGAAAGTTAAATATTAAAACCATATTTAAAAACAGTTAAATTTTGATAATTATCAAAAAGTAGAGAAGATAATTAAGTTCATTAACATTGAACAAATTGAAATAAATTAAACAAGGTTCTGCAAATTCTATTTTTGCAAGTTTGTGATTACAAAAAATCAAAACTGATTTAAGACTTGTCAAAAATAAAACTATGGAAAAACCTTCCTCAGAAAATGCACTACATACATACACACAGGGTCTCCAAATATCTTTTTTTGTTTTTAAAAATCATTTAAAAGATTTATTTGTTATTAGTTATTTAAAAAATAAGAAAAACTACCTAAACACGGTGAACGATATAAAACTTAATATAATATCAATAAAACCTAATATCAATAAAATATTTAAAATTATTACACTAAGGTGCGTATTTGATAGATTGAAAGAATTATTATATGAATGTAAATGATCTGTATTAGTTATATGAAATGGATGAAAATTATTATTGAGAATTGAACGGATTAATCTAAAATTTTGTTTTATAAACATACACACACACACACACATATATATATATATATATATATATATATATATATATATCAATATTAATACGTATTAAGTAAGCGCGTTCGCTAAGTTAAGTAATAGTCAGATATGCTTTGCCATTCAATCATATTTACAACTCGACCTCGAGAATCGCAATTAAATTATTCCTATACCCACACAAATATAAATAACATATGCATATAAAACACATACAAGAATAACTATATGTGCATAGACACTACATTTTATATATATATATATATATATATATATATAATCAGAACTATACATGAATTAATTTGAAACTGATCAATCGTCTATCTAAGTCTTTATAACGTAACTTTATGATTCAATAATCATAAACTTAATTTTGGCAAATATTTATATTTGTTTATTTATTTTTTCATATATAAGCCGTTATCAATAATAATAAATATTATCCCAGATTCTTATCTAGAGAGATCAATAAACTTCATACCAATAATGTTTATAAAAGTTGTAAAAAATATTATCATTCATTTTTAAGTATTGGAAGTACTTAATGTACTTCCAATTCCAATTAATAAAAAATATTAAGGGTAATGGCTTAATTATTTTTCGGTACCGAGAAAAAAATTAAGTAAACAAACAATTAAACTAAGTTGAAACTTTTCCATCAACAATATTTCGGCTTTAATATAACTAGTTCATAATATATATATATATTTATATATATATATATATATACATATAAATATATTTTATTTATTTATTTTTATATATAAATTATACTAATCAGACGGAAAATGCACAAAATCGAAAATACAAAATTATATATACCTATGTATAAATTGATTGCAAATTTTAAGATAAGAATAAACTATGGATATGATTTGCCAGAGGCACTAGACATTTCCACGTGAATTTCTGGACCTTTGAGACAGATATATATATATATATATATATATATATAAAAAGCGATAGTCAACTATCTTGAAATTCAGGTTTTTAGTAATGTGTGTCATTGATTTTTTTCATGTGTACACACCAAGTCGTATGCTTAAGGTGTATCAAATGTATATATATATATATACATATATTACATAATATATATATGTATATATATATATACATATGTCTAAACATATCTGAAGTGGATTTTATAAAAGTAGTAAGGCGACATTCTATGGTACGTCTTTGGATCGTATATAGAACTTAAAAATGGCACGAGGTACGCGCCTTAAAAATCGTTACCCACATTAATAGTTACGTAGGCATTCGATTTAGTCATATATATATATATATATATATATATATATATATAATATTATAATATATGCACCTGTCCTTAAGATAAAATAGCTAGAAAATTAAATGCATAAAATGCATAAAATTTATATGATTTTCCCAGTGCACTTTAGTACAGTAAACAACTGAATCTTCAAATTTCCCATACTCTTCTATTTTTATAAAGGTTTAAAATCGTACCTCTTGTACGAATTAATTTTATTTCGATACACCATGTTTGTTGTTTTTTTACATCTCTCTATAATATTAACCTAAATCAATTATATTAGTTTAGTTGTGACATTATCATCGCCTATAGATATAGCAACTCACAGATGGCAATGACTTTGTGAAATCATCAGTTTGTACAATTAGGTAATCACTTGCATCTCAAGGCTGCAAAATAATTTGCATATCGAAACGGTTATTATGCAGTCGAATATATCAATCTTTATTGAAATTGATTTTAATCATCTACTTATTTATACACACACGAACAAACACACATATACAGACGTACCTATATATAGAGCTTTGGACAAGGGATCCAATAGTAATAAAAACCAACAAGTTTTTAAAATTATTGATTATAATCACTAAAGTCAATGTTTTGGAACACAAACACAAATACATGAACACAAATAGTAATATATATTATATTACATGAACACAATAATTATATACATACATACATACATATATATATACATATATATATATATATGTATGTATATATAAGTATATAAAAATATAAACATTCCAGTTCATTTGTCAACCTCAAAGTTTTTATATATTGAAAATTAAAATAAGCTTTAAACTTGATAATCGAAACTGTAACGTTAAAACACAAGTTTAAATATTACCGAATCAATTATACACATATATTTATATATAGGTGTGTACATATCATGTGTGTGTTTTATATATATTTTGCTTATGTGTTCATCTTTATACCCATACGAGTTGCATTCGTATACCTACGCGCGCATACCCACGAAACTTGTTTAAGAGAGAAATATTTTTTCAAAAGCATTCTAAGCCTTAGGCTAAAAAATATCTTACACACATAAAACAT